TGCTCAGAGACTAAGGATGGCTCAGCTCCTCAGATGTTATTGGTAGATTTACTAATAAATTAGAGTAATACAGTGGTATCACTGAGAGTGATAGATCACCTCCATCGTTTAAATAATTGATCATGTCTATTTGTCTCTATCATGTCTTTAACTGTCTATTACCTCTTGATGTAACTATGGGATGAATATGTCTGTTTGCCTGTGTGGACTACAAACCTTCAAACTTCAAGGCTTTTTAAATGTTTGAACATTTTCTAAACATTCAAATAATCCAACAAACTTTTATTTAAAAATGACAGTAATGTGAATTTATTTGAATTCAAATTTGAAATGCAGTTTTGCATTCTCTTTGCTTCCTCGGGTCTATTTAAATCAAATTTACATAATGAATTGCAATGTAACTCAGTTCTGAATGGCGTGCAACCCTTTCCCCAGGATTTTAAACCTGGGTTTCCTCTTTTTAAAATGGAAAGGTCCCTAAATTTGCTATGAACAAATCTAGAATTTTCATAGAGAGGATTAGCAACAGTAACTGTCACTTTTCATAGCTAAAATTACTAATGTTTTTTTTTCTTTAAAGGTGTGCAATTTTTAAACCAGTATTTGATGTGAAAACAATGAAGAAATTCATCATATTCAATGAATATGCATTAAGATATATTTTCTCTGTGTCATTTTATAAAGCCTATTTATATTATAATTATATTTTTTGATATTTGACAGATTCATTGAATGGTTAAACATCTATATTTTAATCCTGAAGTATTTAAGTCTGTAAGTTAGACCTCTGCAGTGTTTTATCTTATAGAATACCAAGTCTTATGCCAAGCCGTGTGTGTCCCTGAGTCTGCTCTGATTTCTGGTCTGCAAAAGATGTTGAAATTTGTTCCATGAATGCAAATGATGTCAAATGAAAAGGAGCCTGACTTGAGTAATGTGTATGAAGTGTTATGCTGTAAAGTGAGAGAAGTGTCAACTTAAGAATTACCTGTAAATAGCCTGTAAGTGGAAAATGTGGGCAAGACCACATGAGTTGATGC